CTTGTTGAAACTAAAACGAAAAAAAACTCTTTTAAGATTATCATTGGCTTCTTTTTCACCCCCACCACTATTCTTAGCAACAAAGGTCGCCATTTCTTCTGTTTATTGCTCGCCAAAAACTATCAAATGCACTCAAAAGCCTAAAATCTAAAAAAAGTTTACAGGAATCGACCAATCGAGCGAGCGAGCGAGCGAATGCCATTCCCCACATCGTATCTATAACTCGCTCTTGCGCATGCGCGCAATTCACGAGTTAAAAAGGGACAATTTTGAACCGAGCGTATTTAATAGACCACTACTTGCACTCCCACTGCCCTTTCATGAGCTTAGCGTAGCTTCTTCCACATTTTAACCGAAAACGAGGCTTTGAACAGTAACTCAAGCATTAACTCTCAAAAATCCGCTAAGACACCATATAATGGTCTTACAACGAATTATGGTGAAACGCATATGACGATCTCAAGAAAAGATTTGGACTGGAAACTCATCCTCTTGTTTCCACGTCAGGAACACACGGCGCATACCTTTTTTTATGGTTGAACTTAATAAAGAAATAAATTTTCTTCTCGAGTGCAAGTATGATAACTTTGTTATCAATTGGATAAAATAGGTACAGGCCAAACCAAAAGTAAGAAAAAAGGAGATGAACAGTACAAACTGTGCAAAACTGACTAACATTTAGATTCACCTGGGTTTCAAACTTTTATTTGTTGACAGTCCATTGGTCTCTAACTTCTGTTACTTGAACATTATTTCTTAACTTAAAAATACACTCTGTTCATAGCTTACTTAGAATTGCAATAATCAAAATCAATATGTAGTAAAGTGTAATTTATACAGTCGGCATGATACTAGACACAGTCATAAGGTCGTCCAATGTTGACTTATCTTGACAAAAGTCACTCAGTTAATCTGGTAACTTTTCAAATCATTAATTATCTCTCTTGCAACCCCAGACCCCTGGTGGGCACTCGGCTTTAGCAGCTAATTCATCTTTTTTCTCATCATCTTCCTTTTCCTTTTTCTCAGGGACCTCGTTTCGTTTGCAGCCCCAGACCCCTGGTGGACAATCTTCTTCAATCTGATCTTTCTTACAGCCCCAGACCCCTGGTGGACAATCTTCTTCAATCTGATCTTTCTTACAGCCCCAGACCCCAGGAGGACAATCATTTTCGACCGAGTCTTTCTTACAACCCCAGACCCCTGGTGGGCATCCTTCTTCGCCTAACTCTTCCTTTTTTATTTCTCTTTTGCATCCCCACACTCCGGGGGGACAATCTTCATCATTATTGCTTTTTACTGACCGCGTAGATCTTCCTTTTGACTTAAACCAATTTTTGACAGAGGCAAATAGACCTCGTTTGCAGCCCCAGACTCCAGGTGGGCAGTCTTCGTCGTTGCTTCTCTTCATTTCGAAGTTCCGCTTACAGCCCCACACACCGGGGGGACAGTCTTCATCCAGTTCCTCGATGACGTTCTTCTTGCATCCCCAAACTCCTGGAGGACAATCGTCTTCGGTTCTCTTGTTCTCTGTTTCCGAGCGCTTACATCCCCAGACTCCTGGAGGGCAGTCACCCTCCCACACCCTTTTTCTTCTCAGTGGATTACTGGTTGCTTCGTGCGAAAGGGCAACGATCGTGATCACGGCAAATATGGTCCAACTCATTTTTCTAAAAAAGAAACGCACCACGTAACTTAGAAAAGTTGCACAAGACACTCGCCTTAAGAAATAGTGTCTGAGAAACACAGAAATAAATGATTCGCCGCATGAATACTCATTTTAGCTATTGTTTAAAAGGAATTTTGTTCAGTCATTTAGTAAAACCCTCCCATTAAAGGTCCATCCGTAGGGTAAGCGTCTACTTTTATCCCGCATGCCAAATTTTTCTAAGTCAAGTCAGACCCCTTCTGAGACTTGTTGATTGAAACTATCACCTATTGTTTCAAATATCCTGTAAGCGACTTCTTCTCCTCACTCTTGGGTGTCAAGTGGGTGAGAATATTACTTTCATTCCGATCCTGCTTTAAAAAGCAGCTTCTGTGCATGAATGACAAAAGTTCAGATCTTTAACGGTCTTTCCTTTTGTAAGCAACCACATGCATGCCTAAATGTGGCACCAAGGGTGGTCGCCTATGAAACTGAGTTTCAACTGTATTTCAGTAAAAAGCATTCGGGGTGTCAGTTCGCAAATGGTTGTAGACAGCTCTGAAAACTCGAACACGTTGTAAAATTTATACGTCCAACAGACATGAGAAAAAGCAAAACAAAACCGAGTATTAGAAAAATAACATCTGTAATGAACAGTCACACCAACTAGTGAATGAAAGAAGTGAGGAGGTGAAGAGAGTGAAAGAAGTGGATATAAACTTTTTTTTTTTCAAGTACAGAAATGATTGCTAACTGACGAGGCAGGTGTAGGTGGAGTGAACTTGCGGTTTTTAACCGAGATACACAATTCTTTTGACATTTTGCCGACACAAAATTCTCCGAATAGAGGTGAATATGTGATACATCCTGGAAAAGGAGGAACTTTTTAAGTCTGCAAAACCTACAGCCTCTCAAGGAACATTAAAAAGAGGTTGCATTACGGAGAGTGTTCATTATTTGAGAGAAATCACTGAAGAAAAACCACAAGATGACTTTTTGTCACATGGCCACGAAAGAGAAAGTGACTGATATCACTTATGACAAAAAAGTAAGCTAAAAGCTTTTGCACAATGGATGTGATACATTGAAACACATTGGATGCTAAGAAAAATTATTTTTAAAGGCTTAAACGCCATCCCAATGTTAAAAAAAATAATATAGGAAATTGTGTTGAAAAAATTGAACTGAGAATTAGTAGTTTTCATAAAACTTATAATGGCCGCCACATTTCATGGACAAAAGTCAATTCGCGTGTCTATTGTTAATGTGAAGATATTTCTCTTTGTTTTGACCTCCTCACTTAAGCCGATACAAAAAAATGAAAGGATGCATAAACAAAGCCATTGGAGTAATAAAATAATACCAAACACAGATGTCAAAACACTCACATCTACAGAAAAACCAAATCTCTCTTCATGGATCTGAATGAAAAGATTATTTTCTCAGGATAAAACAAGAAAAAAAAAAGAGAGAGACGATGTGCCTTAATTCTCATAGAAACTGTCCATAGACCATGACAAACAACATTGACAAATTAAGGTTTCCTAACCGATAGTAATATATCTGTGGTGTTACTATCCTCAACTTACTTCTCAAATGTCTTTGACAGAAAATCGTCTCCTTTGTTGAGAGGTTCTTACTAAAGCGAGTCGTAGAGTTCGTCCGTCGAAAGCGTCCTATTTGGCGAAATGTTTGTCAACGATTTATATCCTTATGTAAGAATTTGATGAATTCCCCCGTTGCGCGTCATACACATTTAGCCTGAGTCTGTAAAACAAAAGATTTTAACGAAGTTTTAATTTTGTCGGTGTTTTTCAGAGTCATGATTGGTTTAGTGCAGTGGGCGGCGGTTTAGAGCTAATTGAAAAAGACAAAAACAATTACAAGCTACTAAAATCCGAATACATGCCAATTAGCAGGCTAATTTCATGGCAAAGAAACTATCATGAGATTTTTATCGACATCTTAGGGTAACCCGCTGATAAGGCAAGTGGAAGATGCTTCTTTATCAAACTCAGAAACATATTTTACGAGTTCCCTTTTGAATTCCGTGCCTACTCACTTTGCCTCAATATAATCACAGAAGATTAAATTTCGACATCTTAATTGCGTTCTCACAAAGACCCTTCTTCATGAAATATGATGACCGCAGGTAGTGCAGAAATTCACTGATGACAATTCGAACTAACCAAGAACACTTCGAAAATTTTTCATCTATTTTCATACGATTTACACCTGTTAGTTTTACACAAGCTTCTTTTGCCTCTCGTTTTCAAAATTTTCTTCTTTCCTTAGGAAACAGGTGTTTTTCACCTATGTGTTTAGATCAATTTTCCTCACAATAGTTTTCATGGCTGAGGCAAACTATATTTGTTGGTTTCTGCGGTTAAGATTAAGATACTGACGTATATCATAGCTGCGATTAGATTTAAAAGCTTTAAGACCTTTGGTGACTTTCTCTGACAGCAAAACCAATATTCTGTCAAAACTGAATACTTTTACTAAGGTTGAATAAAATGTGTTTGCCTTGTCGGTTTGACTGAAGATGCCTGCGTTGACGATTTACCAAAGTAAGGAAATTCTGTTTCCCAATAATTCATCTCGTGCAAACCGGATGCGTTTTTACATAAAACCCGCATTCCAAGGATGAATCAGCAGCTGAAACTTTCCGATTTCTAAAATTAGTAGGATTTTTCCCAAATTTATTGTGCTGTATATCGTTTGTTTTGGAACCTTTCATATCGCCTTAATCCAGAAGAACCACAAAATGACATAAATGCGTTGTTGGTAGGATTTTGAAGGAACATGGTACAGAGGCCGCAAACAAAAAAAAAATCTCTTGTTCGGGAGATTGTAGAAAATATTACATCTTAAACATGACACCAACCAGTTCAAACAGAAAAGAAGATTCGACACCTGAACTAAACCTGAATTACTTTGAACGGGATGACCAATCTAAATTTATGATAAG